ATTATTTTAAAAATATTAATTAAATAGAATCTTAATTTTATATAAATCTTCGATAATAAAATTAGATTTAGATAATTAGTAGTTAAAAGAATTTTTTCTTAGAATATTTTTTAACTTTTTAGTATATGGTTTCAGATATATAATATTAATAACTAAATAAATTCGCGAATCTAAAAGCAGTTTAATAAAATATATTAATATTAATTTTTTTTTAAAATTTTAAAAAATTTTGTAAATATATTATTAAGTTTTTTTTTTAAAACTACTAAAATTTTATAGTTTTAATAAAAATAAAATTTTATCAGATTATCTTTTTTAAATATTATATTTATATATTAAATATTATATTAATATTTTATATTTATTTATATTATTTAAAGTATTTTTTTTTTAATTATATATATAAAAAAATTTTATAGTTAATTAGTTATTTTTATTATTATATTAAGATTTAGTATTATTAGTAATTTTATACTATATATTAATAAATACAGTAAAAATCAAATAAAAATATTTTTATAAAAATTTAGAATTATTTATAGTTATAAAAATAATTTAAACTAACCAGCTGTATTTATTAATAAAATAATTATATAATAAAAAAATTTTTAACTATTTAATTAGTTTTTTTATTTTATTTATTTATTTAGATATAGCTTGCAGTAGTAAACTACTACTTAATATTAAATAATTTAAATAATATTATTTATAAATTAAATAAAAATTTTAAATTTTAGTTGCTAATAAGAATTTTAGAAATTTTTTAATTACTAAAAATAAGTTTTTTAAATAATAAACTTACTTATTATATTATATTCTAGTTATATTAATCTAGTATAATTATAATATATTTTATATATTTATAAATAATAATTAGAATAATATTATATTTTTTTTTATTTTTGCTATTAGAGAGTATAGTTATAATATTAATAATTAGAATATAAAAAGATATTAATAATAAAAAAATAGATTATAACTATTTATATAATTAATATTAAGAAACTTTCTTTTTTTAATATTTATAATAATATATTATATATTATTTTATTTAATATCTGTATTTTAAAAAAGTTAGTTTCTTTAAGTTTTTAATTATTTAATTTTTTTTAGATGGCTGAGTATATTATATATATTTTTAAAAGTTTTTTTAAATATTATACTTAGTATATATAAAGAATATTAAATATTAAAAAATAGTCTGTTTTTTATATAAAAAAATAAATTAATTCTTATTTAAACTGTCTTATTATTTCTAATTTAATCGATAATTTTTAATTATTTAGAGTTTTTCGGATAGATTTTATATATTTAATTTTTAAAATTTTTTATAAGATAGACTAACAGTATTATAAATTTATTTTAAAATATATTTAAATAAAACTTATTATTATCTATAAATCCGATAGCAAAAAATAATAATTTTAAAAATATATTAAAAATAAAATATAGTTTTTTAGATTTATAGACTATAAGTAAGTAAAAAGATTAACAATATTATATTATATAAATAAATCTTAAGTTAAGTTATATTATTAATATTAATATTAAAAAAATCTATTTTAAAAATAGTTTAATTATTTAATAATTTATATATATTACTGTTTTTTAAATAGTTTATATAAAATATTTATATTTTTAGATTATTTAAAATAAATTTAATATTTTAAATTCTGTAGGCTAGTAGTTATATTTTATACTATTAAATTCTTAACTAAAAAAAAATTAGTTAAATAATATATATTAATAAAACCGATGTCGGAGTTTATATTATATTATATTTTAAATTTAATTTATTATTTAAAAGAATATAAAAAAATATTACTTTTATTCTTCTTTTTTTTAATATATTAATATTAATACAGAGTATTTGTATTTTATTAAAATATATAAAAACTAGTTTCTTATAGAAAAAATTTTTTATTATATAAAAAAATTAAAATTCTATTTTTATTAGTTTAATTAGTAAAACTTTTATTATATAATTTTTATATATAGTTTTATTAAAATCCTCGGGAATTATTTTTATAAGTATAATTTTATATTATTAAAAAAAATAAATTATTTTTATATAAAAAAATATATAATTTTTAACTAATTTATCAGACTGATAAAATAATTTAATTTTATTAATATTTTTAAAAAGTCAAGCTTTAAGATTACTATTATTTTTATTTTAATAATTATTATACTAAAAATATTTATATTTTATTTAAAATTTTTAATAAATAGAAACCTAAGAAAGAATTTATTAAATAAAAAAATAATTTTTATTTTTTAATATTTTTTAAGAAAGTATTTAAGATGCTAAAAATAATTTTTAAATATTTTTAAAAATATAATAAAATTATTTATATAAATATATATAAATTTTTTTATTATTTAAAAAAGATTTTTTATTTAATATTAGATATATAGTATCGAGTTAAAATAGTTTATAAAATAAATTTTAAAAATTTTTTATTTATAATAGAATATAATATCTATAAATTATTAATTTTTTGGATAAACCAGCTATTAGTAAAATATCTTAATTATATTAAGAATTAAAAAATATATTATATTAATAAAAGCTGCTATAATTTCTATTTAAATTAAAATTAGATATATATATAGAATTATTAATATATTTAATATTTAGATATTAATTACTAAATATAATTTTAATAACTTTTATTTAATATTATTAATAACTATTTTTATAATAATAAAGACTGGAATATCTAAAGAAATAAAATTATTTAATTAATTTATATAGTTAGTTTTTAATAATTTATTAAAAATATTATTAATAGTCTTTTAATATATAAAATTAAGTTTATAAATTTTTATTATTTTACTAATTTTATTTTTTTATTTTTTATATAAAAAAATACAGAGCTATTAATTTATCAGAATCTTAATAATATTATTATTTATTTATATTTTAAAAAATCTGATTATTATTTTTTTAAGAATTTTTTACTATTTTAATATATTATAGATTATAATACTAATTTTTAAGATTTTTATTATAATAATATTAGTTTTAAATTTTAACTTATTTTATATCTTTAATATTATTAATATAAGATTTTCGAATAAATTCTAGAATTTAGAAATTGTATAGTAAATTATTATAATATTAAATTCTAAGATATTTTTAAGTCTAGTATAATAATTAATAATAGTTAGTTATAACAAAGAATTTAAAGCTATAATAAAGATAAAATTTATATTAATTATATAAATAAAAAAAATTATATTTATATACTATTTAAACTTAAAAATATAGTTTTTATTAATTATAAGATTAAGATTATAAACTAAAAATACTATTTTATTATATATAAAGATTATTATCTTTTTTTTTAATAAATATTAATTAACTTTAATAGTAATTTAGCTTTGAAATAATTATAAATAACAAAATTATATTATAATAATATACTACTTCGATAAGCCGGCTTTTAAAATTAATTTTAAATTTATATAGTTTAAAAATATTATAATTAATAAAAAGATATATTTTTAAGTCTTAGATTAAATATATATTTATATATACTTAAATTAATATTAATTTATTATTAATTTTAATAGAAAATAGAATTAATAATATTATATAGTTTATATTATTAAATTTTTATTTAACTTTATAAATATAAATAAAATATTTTATATTTATTATTAGAATTTTTAAAAAATTAGTTGCTAGCTAGATTTTATCGACTATTAATATAATATATTTAGAGTTAAAATAGATAATATTTATATTTTTATTAATATAGATTTTAACTATTATATATCTTTAATTTTTAAAAAAATTTTTTGGTTTAAAAGATATAAAAAACTTGTTTATATTAACTATTAGAATATTTAGATTTATATAAAAAATATCCAGTTTATAATTTATAATATATATATAAAATATATTATTAAAAATAAATAATATAAAATAATCCGAGTATTATAAATAAAAGATATTTTAATATTCTTAATAATCTAAAATATTTTAATTTTTATAATTATTATTAAAATAATAAATATTATTATTTTTATTATTATAATATTTATTATTATAATTACTATTATAATATTTTTAGATATTATAAAACTAGTTATATATTCTATTAAATTAATTATATTAAAAATATTTATTATAAGAATTATTATTATTATTACTATTAATTTTATTATAATATATTTTTTAGAATTTTTTATAATTATAGTTATTTTAATAGTTATAATTATAATTATAGTAATAATTATATTTTTAATTATTATAATAATTTTTATAGTTTTTTTTAAATTATAGTTTTTTTTATAATTTCGGCGGTTTTTCTAGTTATTATAATAATTATTATATTTACTATTATATTAATTATTTTAATAGTTATTTAATTTATAAAAATCTATTCAGTTTTTATAATATTAATATTTATTTTAATTATTTAGACTATAATTAGATTAGTTATATAAAATATTTTAAGTATTACCAACAAGAAGAAAAAGGATTCTATAAATATAATAATAAGAATATCTATATTAATTTTTTTTCTTAATTTTTAACTGTTTTTTTCTTATTATTTTACCAAACCCGCCACCTCTTTTTTACTGTTAGATCTGATTGCTTATTAGGATTTGCTTATTTTTTTGTTTATTCTATAAATTTTTTAATATAGTTAAAAAATCTTTCTGTAGAGATTAGTAACGGGACAGAAGCCCAATTCTGCCTTTTCTATTAGAAAAAGAATAAGATTGCCGCTATTATATTGCCTCGCTTCTCTTCTTTTTTTATATCTTTAAGCAATCCAATTAAGCAGTCATCCAATCAAGAGATTAAGTCTTTTTTCATCCTTACAAGTTGGCAAGTCATCACTACGCAGTGTCGAGTATCTGATGATACAGTATAGTACAATACAGTACATACTGTATTCGGAGCCTAAAGCAAAAATTCAAGTCCACCGATCTCTCTCCCCCTCCCCCGCCTTCTCTTCCGGGAGAGCTACAGAGCGTGACTGGCTGACTGCTCTTCTCCAACTTCACTTCATCTTCATATCTCCCTCCCTCCCTCGCCAACCCCTTCACTAACATACATACACACAATCTCTCTCTCTCTCTCTCTCCTTTCCCCTTCCTCCACTACGGCGCAAAGCACAACAACTCCCCTCCTTTATTCCTCACCCACCATGGCACCCCGCGGTCGCGGAAAGTTTTCCAAACCTTCGCGAGGAGGTACGTGCAAAAGCCGAACACCAAATTCTGAGAGTGAATGAAGCGGACTTCCCCTCATCAGGATCACACCACAAGAGAAGGATACTGGCCGCGACTGACCCGGTGCAATTTTCCTGCGCACACATCGAACAGGTGGAAAACATTTCAGTCGTGATGTTCAGCCCATTGACAAAGATGGAAACCCCGTTGGCCTTTGGAGGGTTCGTATGCCTTTTCTCTTTTTCCCGGACACTCCTTGTCTACCTGGGCTCACTGCACCCCTGAATGTTCTATTCAAGACCCCCTCCCATTGTAAACTACCCTTCAAATCCCAGCCCCACTAATTCCGAGACCACATCGCAGGATCCCGAGGAGAACAATCTCTCCTCTTCCGAGGAGGAGGAATCTTCTGAATCAGGCTCCGAAGAGTCCTCCGACAATGATGATAACGAACCTTCCCACAGCGCCCGACTCGGTCCGTCTTCCATACCCGTTGCGAGCAGCAGCGGTACCACCGAAATGACCCGTGAGGAGCGGCGTGCGGCTGCCAAAGCGAAAAAGCAGGCTGCCCAGGCTCGCCGGATGCACACTGCCGCTCAACCGGGTGACCTACCCCCTTCGAACTCGGACGGATCAGGCAACGACACCGACGACGATGACGACGATCTACCAGCCAATCCTAACCACACGGCCAAGTCGCGCTCCCAGCTCAGCGACAACCAGGAAGACGCGCAAAAGCCGAAAGGCGATCTATCACAGTTGTCGCGGCGGGAGCGTGAGGCGATTGAGGCTCATCAGGCGCGACAACGCTACTTGAAGCTTCATGCTGAGGGTAAGACAGAGGAGGCTCGCTCCGACTTGGCTCGTTTGGCGATCGTTCGCGAACAGCGTGAGGCTGATCGCCTGCGCAAGGAAGCTGAGAAGGAAGAGAAAGTCGAGCTTGCGAAGCAGCGCGCCGCCGAACGAGATGCCAAGCTGCAGGCTGCCAAGGTTGGGAAGAAGAAAGGTGTGTCAAAGAGAAAGTAATCGCCACGCGACAGACATCTCCAATTTGGCTTTAGTTCCTGCTGCCGCTGGTGCACGTTATATACCTTGATTCTGTACAGATTTTGGAATCATGATTGGCCTTACTTTCCCTTCTAGTCTTCTCTATCAAGTCCTTGGCAGAAATACAGAGCCACACACATGGCATAAGATCATGCGTTACATCTATCCAGAAGATATGCTGTACAGCACGAAAGTACTTCTGTTTCAACTAACAGGTGGAACAGATTTTCACATCCATTAACAGTAGGTTGTCAGATAAAATACCCTGCAAATCCTTCAACCTGGAATCTGGGTCCTCCTATATGAAACGAGAAGGCGGAAGATAAGATCATAAATCAGTGGACCATGACTGACCGAGTGATTGCAGCACCAAGACAAGATGACATATACGCCGGCGCTGAGATAAAAAAAATTTAAGACATACATACATTGCAGCTATAGTGGCGAAGAGGAGATGCTCTTGAGGGGGAGCAGCTCGAGCACCAGCTCGAGCACAGGGCAGTGCTTATGCGCCCCAGACCAAGACCTCCAGGATCTGGCCTTGCATGACCAGGCTCCATCCGGCGACTAGGCTGACAAGCCACAATATCGCGAATGCTAGGATAGGGAGCAAGAGTAGCTCGGTGTTGTGCAAGAAGGGAAGGGCATTGTATCCCAAGAATGTAATATAGGTGTAATATGTCAGTGCAGACAGGTAGAGCGTGTCGCCGAGGAAAGTAGCCAGGAAATTGCTTGGACTGCGGGTGAGCAGTGGCAGAAGAAGAAACTGCACAACATAAAGATGCAGATAAAGGGGAAAGTATGCCCGAATCGATACCTGAGATTTGCGAGATTTAGTTTCCCTGCTCAAAATCCTGGGCCATAAGACAGGCTGATGTGACTTACATCAAAGCAGTAGCCAAACTCCAGCTGGTCCTTTTCACCAGGCTGCGTGAACAAGCCCTGCGCCGCGCCACGCCGCCGACCACGACTACCTCGAAATCCAGTGAGAGAGGCTGCGGCGCCATCAGGGCCGAATAGGCGGGGAATCATGAGATATCCTAACGTCGAGACCAGAAGTGAGGACCCGATGAAATGAACGAAGATAAAAATCAGAGACAGCCGAACGATGGACCCAAACGACGGCGCATAGGCGAGACCCCACGCGAGGGCTGTGAGAAGAAGGAAGAAGGAGAGCAGGTAGGTGAAAGATGGATCCGGGCGATGCCAGGTATTCTTCGTTTCTGGAAATCGGTCAGTTCCTCACCACGGCAACCTGGTCAGACATGCAGAATACGTATATTCCAGACAACCTACGTTTCTTTGAGCCAGACAGGGAGTCAGTAGACAATCAAAATTTTCTGTGGTCTGGGAACAGGTATAACGTACATGGTAGTATATTGACTTGAAGACTTTCTTGGGCGCAATTAACAGAGAGGTCATCTCCCAGATTGCCATCTCGAAATCCATCTGCGGGAACTTGAATAGCCTGACCCACAAGGCAGAAGGGAAGGGTATGATCAGCTATAGGCCGAGGATGTTGATAAAGATCGTCCTGGAGGCTCCAAGCCGGGCTGCACGCCGCGTACCGAAGGCTTCCAGTCCGAGTTGAAACGCCTACCTTTTAAAGAAGCGCGGCATCCGTATACTGGATCTACGGCTGGCAGGCGTAGTACCGCCGAAATTCAATGGACTGGCATGTTGGCGGGGAACAGATATGTGAGGGTTCATCTTTCAGAAAGTGGATGAAGGAAGAAAGAAGAAGAGATGATGGAGGGGGTCCCAAGTCGCGGGACAACACCAGGTAAGAGGAATGAGACTCATGCAAATTGAACGTGTGACCCGCTCCAGAGGAAAGGCTAATTAAGCCACAACAAGTTTTGAGCTGACACTGGTGAAGAAGGAGGAGGAGGAGGAGGAGGAGGAGGAGGGGGAGGAGAGAAGCAGATGATGGAGTTCCTTCGACAATGGGAAACAACGCATGGATGTTATGTCATCATCTGGGGTCTTCTTGCCGCGGAGGAATTTGTGAGGAATTTGGACCCCGTTACAAATTATTGTATATGCACTTACCACTCATACTTACTGAACCCAGCATTATACTACTACAGTACGATATACAGACTCCCTGTTTAAGTTACAATGGATAACTTACACTAGGTCCTCTATAGACTGTGTCTATATACAGATCACCAGCCACTTCTGCCACGTGGGATTGGATCTGCTTACAATGCTTGAAGGGATGTACAGTACAGTACAGTACAGTACATACTATGGACGTTTATGTTGATTACCACAGACTGCGTGGCTCCTGAAACCGACGTTGACAGATCTGGTTAGGCAATCGAATGATCTTGGAGAAGCATTTGGCATTTGACCAGTCTTCCAGACTGGTGGTGATACCTCATTACTCCCGAAGTAGGTGAGGCGTATCACCTTTCCTGGTGCTTTAAAAAAGTTAAAAAAGACCCAAGTTAATACGGTGGGTGTACGGAATAACCACAACTATAACAGTACCTGAATCGGTGGCTGCAGGCGTCGATAAAGTGATAACTAAAGTGATAAGGTGATAAAGTGATAAAGTGGCCCCCCTGAAATGCTAGAGGAGGGTCTTGCGATCCGACACTAGCAGCAAATTATTACATTATTCTGGTTAGGTTAAGTTATTTGTTACTCGATCATAAGGTACGGAGTATGTTTGTTCTTTCATTTGTTTCTTCCTCTTCCTTTTCTCTCTCTCCCTCCATACTGCCCTGCAGGGTCCCTGAGTCGACCACAATTTCCGGTTTTTGATCAAGACGCTTGCGCATGCATCAACGAACTAACATGCATTCGATGTGAGTAGCTTACGAGGTACAGCACCTACCCAGGTACGGAGTACTGTTACCTTCCTTCCAATCTTCCAAATTTTCAAATTTCCAATTTATCCTTGCTCCTCTTCCATCCATCCATCCAGCGTTCGCGATCCTCGTGGCCAATTCACTCTCTCCACCCCCACACCCACTCTCACTTCAAGAAGGTTTCCGGCGCCCGTCCGTCTCCAAGCTTGTGTTATTGTTTGACTTTCCATACTCCTTGGGTCGTCTTGATCACGGTCTCCGTTTCCTCCGACCTATTGCTTGTCATACACTTCCCACTCTCTTTTCCCAGATTCATGAAATCCCCTTTCCCTTCACCCGTCTCTCCGACTCCACGTCGATCAATCTCTCATTCTTTCACCTTGACTGATGACTGAAGGAACATAGAAGGATCGATATAGCTCGCTTTTAATCATCACACACTCCAATTGCAGCACTCGGCCCCTCCTCCCTCCTCCCCTTACACCACCAATTCACTCCTCTTTCTACCTCTCACGCGATGTTCAGCTGGTGGTAAATTTTGACCTACACTGTGCTTCGATGACAGCGACGGCCATTGCTATGCCGCTTATCTAATGTCCGCGAATTGGCTCCCGGCACATTCTTGAAATCAGGAGAAGGGTCAGTCAGGGCTTCGAAGCTCCTCAAGGCGAACGGTGACGCTCAGTAATCCACCGACCAATTGCTCTAGAACGGACGCTCTGTCTCGCTTCCACGACTGGGCACAGGCCCTACCCTTTTTGATCTCGTGTCTTCTGTTTTCCCTTCCACTTTACGTTCTTTCTAGGCCCCGTCGCTCGCTTCGCATTAATGCCACGAACCCCGGCCATTCGCAGAAGTCCTCTCCGATGAACAGAACCTCTCGTTTCGATAGTCGCACAATGCCTCCGCAGCACGCAAGCAGTTCACCCCCTCAAACCCCTCCGTTCGAACCAAGCGATCGCATAGCCGCGAGAAGGGGAATCCACCCACGACCGTCCGTACGGGAGACCTTTCTGGACGACTTCAATCCAGCTGATAATGCCAACGACAGCAATGAATCGGGCGACGAGCGCGACCCACATGACTTGTCGCTATCGCCGAAACATGCAGCCCGCACCTCAATTGTGGATAACATGCTCTTGTCGTTGGATCAGTTTGCTTCGGGCTCTCTGCTGGATGATTATCGCTTATTCAATTCGGTGTTTGAGACCGACTTGTGCGGCAACGGTTCGCCAGAGTCGATCTCGCAACGCCGCTATCGAGGCCACACTTTCTCTTCCTCCCTGTCCTCGGAGGTAGAATGCACGTACGATGAGAGCACTGGCCGTTATGCAACACAACCGGCGAGAAGCCGTCGAAGCAACAGCAGCTCGAACTATCATGCCAGCCTACGAAGATACGGCAGCACTCGCAGTCGCGAAGGAACCGGCTCCCGTGGTCAGCTGTACGATTATAGGACCAATTCGAACATTGCGTCCCCAGCGAATGTCCGGGCGTCTCGGAATGGAAATCGAGGCAGTTCCTCGCCCCCAACGGATCTTACTTCAATGCAAATGGGACGACTGGACGCGGCCGGCGAGAGGCGCTCTGCGAGCTTAGACTTCGGCACAAGACAGACATTCATCTCCTTTCCGGATCTTGTCTTTGACTTGGACCCCTCGTCGTATGGAGGGCTTGATGCAGCGCCGACTCCAAGCGTCCCTGGTGGACCAAGTAAATTCCACTCGTCTCCGCAGGCTGAATATGCAGGCACCTCTAACCCCCAGCAGTCAAGGACGACACCCGGGGCATCGCGCCGGAACAGCGTCAAATCGCCGCGGTCGAACAACAGTCGAAAGGCTCGACCGGAAAATCTGGGCACGGCGACGATCCGGAGTCATCATTCAGATCTGGCCAACCTCGGGGAGAGCGGACTTGAACCTCCGCCGACGATCCCTGCATCGCTCGACCCGCCCGCGCCGAGCCCAACCATTTCCTTCAACAAGCCGATCTTCCCCGCGCCACCCGACCCCGCTCCAGCAGCCAAGGAACGGCCAGGGTTCTTCCGGCGTGTGTTTGGCTCCTCAAAGGTGTCGACCGCCATTTCAAGCGAGTACCACCCTTCCGACCACGTCTTCGCCCAAGAAAACGACCACAAGGATCCCAGCGGATTTGGGCCGAACGCCAAGAGTTGGAGACAGCCACTGAAGACTAGTGCAGCAGGAATCAACCCGCACCGTGAAGGAGGAACGCACCAGGTGGTGACCAAGAAGTCTTCCTTCTTCCGTCGGCGCAAGAAGTCTGTTGCTGAAAGTGCTCCTCCCCCCATTTTCTTTCCCCCGGAGCTCAGCGGCCATCTCCGCGTACTGGAACCGGCCAAACCGGAGGCTATCTCGGTTAGCAGTATAGGGAGAGGGATGAACCCTTCCTCCACTGCAGACCCCGGCAGTAGACCCTTGGACCGGCGCCCAGCCGCGGAGGCCCAAAACCTGGGAGGTTCGCCGACGCAAAACCAGAGAGGGAGTTTAGTCACAGCAACCCAGAGTCCTTCAAAGGCCAAATACAGCCTTTACCCGACGGTTTCACCGAGCAGCGCTCCGGAGGCATCATCACTCGGCCTCACCAGCAGTGGAGATGAGGCGTCGACCATCGTCAGGTCGGGTGGCTTGGATCCGAGTCACCCTGCCGATCAGCAGCAAGAACCGGAGCACCCATGGCGTGGAAAGGGAGTGGACTCGAACAGTAACGACGTAGATAACGGTTCTGGTGCTAGTACTCTTCAAACAAAGCTGAGACCTGAGGAGTTACCCGGCTCCTCGCTTTCGCCTGTGGTTGAAAGCTTCTCTCAGACAGGTACCGTCCCTGAAGAGAACCTTGATAATATCGCTCTCCAGAACCCACCGAAGTTGAAAGAAGCCCACGAATCCTTCCCTTCAGATGTGTGCAGGGATAATGAAATGGGGAGGAATACGTCTGCCGCTGCGGCTGGCTTGAATGACTCCCCACGGGTTTCGACTTCGGAAGTGTCGAACTACTATACGGCTTCAGAAGCTCCCACCGCATTGTCGATTGAGCCAAAACGCATAGATCCCCTCAGAGAGGAGTCTCATATTTCAGATGGTCTCGTTGGTGACGAACCAACAGATTCCGACCGGGAGCAAGCGAGGATGTTGTTCGAAGGTCAGGAGCAAGTGGTCGGGAACGAGCCTGCCGCCGCCTGGCTTGGGGATCCCGACCGTGCTTCGATACGCAACGCATACATGGAACTTTTCGACTGGTCCAACCTCAACATCCTGGCAGCCCTGCGAAGTCTTTGTACTCGGCTGGTGTTAAAGGGTGAGACTCAGCAAGTTGATAGAGTCTTGGATGCTTTTTCCACAAGGTGGTGTGCGTGTAACCCGCGCCATAGCTTCAAAGCTGCAGGTAGGTTCAGCCCCATTCCGCAATTGAGCGCCATGGTTGGACTAATGGTATCGCTCTAGATGTTGTGCACACAATTTGTTACTCTCTCCTCCTGTTGAACACTGACCTACATCTTGCCGACATCGAGCAGAAGATGACCAAGACTCAATTTGTTCGGAATACGATGCCCACGATCCATCGCGTGGCTGCCGAAGCCGCCCCTGACGAAAGTCTCAATGGTAAATCGAGAGTCTCGACACAAGATCCGATGTCACCCACCGACGATCATGACCGGCGTTTTGTGAGCATGGATAGGCCGCTGAATCAACCGGCAAAACTAGTAAACCGATTGTCTCGGACTGATCTATCTGCGAAAAATACAACTGATCCTGATAACGAGACTGGCCCGCTTGTCAACACGCCTTTCATTGGGTCGATGAGGGTATGGGAACAACAGGTCGAGGCTGTTCTCCGGGACTTTTATTCCTCGATCCAGAAACAGAAGCTTCCTCTTCACGGCGCGTCAACAGAGAAAGAAGGGCCGCGGTCTTCAGCCAACAACTTGCTTGGCCCTTATACTAGTGGGCTCCGCCGAAGTCCCAGCACTGTGAGCAGAAGTGGCTCTGACATCTATCCTCGTGGCCGCTCTGCAGATTCCCGCTATGGGACTGCGCGGTGGTCATCAAAACCTCGTTCGCGAGCGAGGCTATATCCTCCGTCTACCATGGGATCTAGTAGGACCAGCTTGGACGATCAGGCATCGCTCTGGAGTCCTTCCGCATCAAGTACTTGGAGTAAGTACTCCTCCGGAAAGTTGACTTCGGCATCAGTGGATTCATTTGGGTCAGACTTTCCACGCGGGGACTATCAACAGTCGATAGGCTTCGCCAACGCCTTGAGTCAAGCCATCATCCGTGAAGATTCGGCCCATTCAATCACAAGCATCGAGGATGCTGAGAGGGATACCCCGCTTTTGGAGGACGAAACTCTACAACTTGCCGGCGCCCCTTGGGCCAAGGAAGGCAGTCTGAAGCATAAACACCACCTGGACTCAGTTGATAAGAGGGCGAAGGATCGCAATTGGAACGAGTGCTTTGCGGTCATTCAGCAGGGCTGGATGCGCCTTTTCTCTTTCAATGCCTCGGTCAAAGGCGCCCGGCAGAAGCCTAAACAGCGTCACCCGGGGGGTGTCGTGGTGGGAGGCGGAAACTGGACTGAGAACGCAGAAGAGACATGGAAATTTCTCCTCCGTCAGACCATTGCCAGTGCTCTCCCACCTCCCGGCTACTCCAAATCTCGTCCCCATGTTTGGGCTCTAAGCCTCCCAACCGGTGCTGTACATCTTTTCCAGGTGGGAACCCCGGAGATCGTGCGCGAATTTGTATCGAGTGCCAACTATTGGAGCGCCAGACTATCAAAGGAACCCTTGATCGGTGGGATCAGTAATATCGAGTACGGCTGGAGTGATGCCGTCATCAACAGCGCTCTCATCACGGCCGAGAGCAGTCGGACGCCACCGTCCTCATCCGGGGCTCGACCCAGCATCCAAAGTTCGATCCGGAGCTCGATCGATCAACAGGGCGTTCGACCTCGTTTACCAGCCGATCGGGTCCTCATTAGCGACTGGGCCCCTCCCCAGCAAAGCATGGTGGCCTCGGCCCTTCCCGAGGCCGATCAACTGAAAGCTTTGCAGGCGTATGTCAAGAATGTTGAAGACGAGCTCCAGCGGCACAATGAACTCCGCTCTGCCATGATCCTAGCGTTTTCACCTCGCCACCTCAATGCTTCTAAGGCGTTGGCCAATTGGGAGCGAAAGTCTTCATACCTCTTGCGTGAAATAGTGAAATTTCGCACATATATCGATTCGTTGTCAGGCGCACTGGAACAGAAGAATAGGATCTATGCAGCCCGCGAAGAGACTGCGGCAGAGGAGTGATTGGGGCTTCCTGTTCTTTTTTTTTTTTTTTGGCTCCTTTTGCTTGTGACCCCCAAGCTCATGTTTTTCATTATACCCTTATTTCCTTGCAGTTGCTTAGTCGTCATGCATTCCAGTCGCTTTGGAAGCCGCGTTCTTTTACACTCTTAATCTCCTCATCTGCCTTTATTCTTTTACCTTCATTAGAAATGTTTTCTTATCGCTGCTGTCCAATTTTGTTTCCCCCACCCCCCCTATTTCTCTCATGCTGGTGGTTTTACCTAGTTGCTTAGAATCAAATCGGTAGATCTACTCCTCAACTGCTCAATGTATTGTAAATGTACAGTACATACAGTATCTGCCACTGGGCATGATATACCATCTTCCCTGTTGCTACCGCGGTTGCTGCCGCGGTTGCTGGACCTGGTGTTGGCAGCCTAAGGTGTCAATTCACCACCCAAACAGTAAATACAACACATAAGGTTAACACATCCCGTCGTGACCGACGACGCATCTTCTGGTCCCAACCTACACTTTCCAACTGCTCCGCGCCTAGCCAACCTTCCCTTTCCTTGCTCCTGTTCCTACTGGGACTGCTTCACTCCTATGTACCTTAAAATATCAGTTCTCTACAACTTATCACGAGATCCTATGCGATCACATCCACCAATCTGAAAGTTCCAAGTCCTCCCCCCCCCCATCCAAAAGCGTGGGGGAATCTGCCCACAGAACACCATGGATACCATCGGCTCAGGCGGCGACGCTGACCGCATTGGCACTAACACTGACAAAGCACCATCTAATATAATCAGTCGACCCAACCCTGCGACTGATACATCTTCCGCGCGACAGCAAGAACCCGATGATACAAACCTTTCTCTGCCCCCTTTGCCCGATAATGACGACAGTAGCCTACTCCTGTCGAGCGAGGATGGCGATCACGATCGTGCCGAGGATCAGACCTTTCTCCAGGAAAATGAAATGCGGAAACGACTGATGGACATGGAGTCAAGTTTTTTACCTGACCCTTCGACCATTCAAGCCACAGCAACAAATCGAACCGTCGGTGCTGATGATACATCAATGGTTGAGGCGCATCGCGGCAGTGGCCCTGGTCCTTCCGGTCCGGAAAATTCTCAGCTATCCTTTCTGGTACCGGTTGAGTCAAATGTTGACATTACATCGGTCGGCGACGAGGTTCCGATTCCGCAAACCCCTAGCCCGCGTCCTAGCCCGCGTCCGGAAGAGGCTGACGATGAAGGCATGGATGCCACATCCGCGGCTTCGTCCGAGCAGCACGCCGACAATATTACGACCCAAATTGAGGGGACATACTCGTCGCCATCGACGGCGGCAGCTCTTAGGACAGCCAACAGGAATCCGACCGCCTCTCCGGAAGATCCTCGAGATGCCAACCAAATCTCTATAGGCATCATTCAAAGAGAGCACTTCTCCACACCCGAGCCCAACCAGTTGCTACAGTCCATAGGGCAGAACTCTCGCAGCGAGCCGCGCAACTTATCACCTGGGCCGTCGAGGTTCTTCCAAGAGAACAGCGGCGGGAACGCAGAAGCGATCTCGCGCGCAAGCAGTCGCAGAAGTAGTAGGCCAAAGTATCTGGCCAGCCGCCAGTCGGCACATCGGCTTTCATACTCATCGGTAACAAGCACCGGCACAGAGATAACAAATAGCGATGCGACATTGGGTGCTGATTATGCCCTTCAATCGGGCGGTGCAGCACCTGGCATGACGAGTAGCATCCAAGCCGGACAGCGCAACACTCTAGCCCGATCGGTGAGCTTGGGCAGCATGGCTTCAGGCATTTCTGGTTACAGCGACGATAACGTCTTTGACCGTAAAGGACCCAGTGGAACTATAGAAGGGGGTCTCCACACTCTCAACGAGGAAGACGGGCCCTCAAGGTCGCGCCCAGGATCATCTTCCCAACACCATCACACCCATCAGCCCGGAAATCATGTATCTGAGCAATCAAGTGCCCAGGAAGCTGCAGGGCCAATAACACCGAAGGCTAAACATCGCAATAACAGCTTCCCCACGGATACAGCTATCGCCGAACGCATCAAAGATGTTCAGATCCCAAGCACATTCGTCAAGCAATTTAGGGAGGATTATGGCAGCCGTGCACTGTCCCCAGACAAACGTACAAGCACCACTCCCGGCTTTACAAAGAGTGGTCGTACCATGACCCTCAAGGAGCAAAGTAGTACCATCGACCGTCTCTCGAAAGAGAATTTTGATCTGAAGATGAGAATCCACTTTTTGAATGAAGCCTTGAACCGGCGCTCTGAGGAAGGTATCAAAGAGATGATTTCCGAGAATGTCGAGCTTAAATCAGATAAGTTGAAATTACAAAAAGACAGCCAGAACCTGAAGCGGAAAGTCCGTGAGCTTGAAAAACAGCTAAAGGATCAGCAATCAGACAAAGAACCTATGGTTAATCACGACCCTGACGGCTCCGAAGATGAAGACCGAGATGCAGCACAGGACGAAGAGATAATATTCCTGAGGGAACGAATAGAAACCTATGAGCTAGAGATTGAGAGGTTCAGGTCAGAAAGTATCGTGCGTGAGAGCGAGAAGAGAAGACTTGCTGAGATGGTGAAATCACTCAGCGATGGAAGGAGTGAGGGAAGGCCCATGGGATCAGACGTGGGAGCAAGGGAAGAGAGGGTCAGTCCATGTTCACCTTGCGAGCAGCTTCTTCGAGGTCAACCCTACTGACGTTTCGAACTCCAGGATATGTGGAAGGACATGCTCGAGGCCGAGGCCGCAGCACGTGAACAAGCCGAGGAGGAGAACAAGAGATTACGAGAGGAGGCCTTGCGCCTGAGGACCGAGACGATGAGCTTCCCACTGACCTCCGCGCGGCCTGGGCAGCGGGACTGGGTTGGATCGGTGGCCTCATACTCAGCCGCTTCTGAAAGAGATTTCGTTCGAAATGCTAATACTGGGAGTTCCTCCAGTTCCACACTGGTCATGGAATTGGAGCTCCTGAAACAGGAGAATGCAGAGTTAAGGAAGGAAGTGAGCGCGCAAACCTCGATGCTTACATCTCGGAATCGGGAAAAAGAGCGTCTATACCAGGAGATTGAAGAACTAAAATTAGGCCAGCGCCGCGACGGTAGTCGATCAGTGGCGGGCGATAGTATCTTCGATCGCTCGGCATCCCGAGCTCATGGTAGGCCTTCGTCCCGTGCTAGTGATGGGACAGGTCAATCTCCAGGCGACGAAGCAGAGCGAGAAGACTTAGAAGTGCGGATTGGGGAATTGCGTGACCAGGTCTCGGCCCTAAAACTCGATAACCAGGCTGTTCGTGAGCAAGCTGAGGAGTACCTTCGAGAACTGGAGGCTGTTGACAAGGCTTACCAAGCAGACGTAGATCAAGCAGATGACGAAATCGAGACTCTGACTCAGGAGCGCGATCAGGCATTACAGGAACGTGACCAGGCCTTGCAGTTGGCCGAGGAACGCAACGAAGCTTTCCAACATCTGAGGTCCGAAGCCCAGGAGGAGATAGACACTGTTGGGGAGGAACTAGATCAGAAGGTGGAAGAGTGTCAACAATTGAACGAGGAGCTCAGGGTTCAAGATGAAAACCTAAGAGCTTTGCAGGCCGAAATGCGGTCGGCAAGTGAAGGTATCATTCGGCTGGAGGAGGATGCGCAGAACAACCTGCAGCGGTATAAGGCTGTTCAGCAGGAACTGGAAGATTGCAACCGTGAGATGGAATCGCTGGGGAAGAGTCTGTACGAGTCAAACACCAAGGTTCAGCGACTAACGGTTCAAATTGAGTCGAGTCAAAACGAGATTGCGTTCCTAAGGGAAGAGCAGGACGGCGATAAGATCAGGATTGGAGACCTCGAGTCAGAGCTCAAGACATACAGACTGGCACTTCAGAGTGAAAAGGACAAAACTAAGGAGCTAGAAGAGCGTCTGGCCGAGGAGCGACACCAACGGGAAGTTGTGGGCAACAAGGAGAAACAAGAAGTCCAGCGCATTATCAATGAGCTCAATCGTGAAGCATCTACAGCTAAGGAAGAGGCGCGCAAGCTGAGGAAAAGCCTCTCAGCACAGGAGATCGACACGAATATGTGGAGAGAGCGGCTGATGGACTTGGAGAACAACCTGCGTCAAACACTGGGCGATCTGACCGGCAGTCGCTCTAGCCTCATTTCCAACATCATGAAATTGCAGAAGGAACTCGAATCGACTGCCCTAGAACTTGAGAGTACCCGCTCCAAGCTCGACGAGAAGGAGTCGTTGTTGCGAAACCGGGACGCGCTACTGGAGAGCCATGGTCTGGAGTCACGTAAATTGGCCGAGCTTCTTGATCGTGAACGCCAGGCTCGCCGCGCCGACAAGCAGTCATTCGATCAGGCCCTCAAATCCCATCACCAGGCGTCTCGGACCATCACGCAGAACAACTCGCGCATTTCAGACCTTGAAAATGCACGGAATCAAGATCGAAAGCGCTTCACGACTATTGAACAACAGTTCAAGGACCAGCTAAGCGAGAGGAACGCCATGCTCTTAGCGATTTGGAAGCGTCTGTCCTTGATGTGCGGGCCGGATTGGGCCCACTCCAACAGCCTGATCAATGGCAATCTGCCTAGCCAGGAAGTCATCGGGAATATCCTATTTTGGCCCGGCTTCAGCCGCAACCTTCTGCTTGCTGTCAAAACCCTGGAGAACGTGGTTCTGGGGTTCAAGGCTCGTATCAAGGGCGTTGAGCGCGATTTAGCCAAACAGTATCAGTCGTTAGAACACGCTTTCAGCCTGCGAGTCAAGAAACTGGATCGTGTGGAAGAATCGATGATGAACATGCGCGCGCAGCAACATAACCGCAGCCTGTCCGGAGTGTCTCCGGAAATCGCTAAGCTCCGTGGAGAAAACCGGCTCCTGAAGGCCGAGCTTAATCTGCTACAGTCTCATTCGCGCAGTCGGGGATCGACGTTGGCCGAGGCCACAGACGGTGCGCTCGTACACGGCTCGCGCCCCCATCCGCTCGCGGCCGACCCCGCCAATAGTGAGAGGTGGATCCAGCGTCTGCGTGAACTGGAGAAGAGACTCAAAGCCGAACGGGAAGCTCGGATCTTGGACCGCAGCGGGGCGCGGAAGCGTCTCGAGGAGCGGGACGCAGAGAACCAGCGACTGCGCGCTCAGCTGGAGAGACGGCGTCTACATCACGACGTGTCGACTAGGACATCGTCGCTCGACGGCGATGGCAGCACCCATATGCGCGTGCCAGCTCAACGGCGACTCGATAGTCCTGATCCCGGCACGAGTGACGGGTACGAGCGCCATCGCGACGACGAGCCGAGTTCGAGTGGGGAGGAGGGCATCTACGTTGATATCGAGGTGTAGGCTTGCTTGCTGCCGGCCGTCCTTTTTCCATTTTCCCGCATCCCCTTCCTTTCTTGAATAATCATCCACTGTTATCTTGTTTATTATTCCCCCCTTGCAAATGTTCTGCTCATTCACCCCAGCCTGTTGATAGCGATATTGTATATTGTTCCGGTCCTCTCTGCGTGTGTGTACCAGATACCCTCTCTCTCTCTCTCTTGATTTTGGATTTTATTTCCTTGTTGGCGCATGATTTAGACACGTGGAGCTCTGTTACTTTTGAAGCAAAGTTGAACCAGAGAAGGTGGCTGGCAGAAAGTGAAGAGGGGACGTGATAGAGAGATATCTGAATGATTGAAGGTGCAAGAAGTCTGGCCCGTAAGAACAAAAGACAATCGAGACATATATCATTAGTCCCAGTCTACAAAGATATACAGCACAACGTAGCATCGTAAGATCCTAACCTCCCCATTCCCGGCGGCGCAACACTCGGGCACCGACCGCAACCAACTTACCGCAAAGAGACCTTCAAAGAGAAGTCCACGATGCCGGTACCCTGATGAATCGAGCTAGTGGACAAGATGTCGACGTCGGGACAAGCATACAGCGCGGCATTCTCCTCCGTCAACCCGCCACTGACCTCAATCAAAAACTTCCGCTTACCCGCCCAATCCGACTTGAGCTGCCTCGCAGCCTCGCGCACACCCACCGGCGTGAAATTGTCCAGCATAATCACGTCCGCCCCGGCGGCGATCGCAGCATTCGCCTCCTCGAGATCCCGCACCTCGACCTCCACCTTGGTCGCGAAGCCCCCGACGGCCTTGGCGGCGTCGACGGCGCGCGGAATAGCGGCCGCAATCGACGAGGCTCCGCCGTCCTGCACCCCGCCGTCCGCCGCGGCCCGATTGTTGGCACAGGCCCAGACGTGATTATCCTTCAGCATCGTCATGGCGCTCAGGTCATGGCGGTGGGGGTCAGCGCCGCCCACCAGGATGCCGTACTTCTCGACGACGCGGAAGCCCGGGGTGGTCTTGCGGGTGCCGGCCAGGGTGCCGGTCCAGCCCTGGGCGCGGACGGCGGCGACCAAGGCGGCGGACTTGGTGGCAATTCCGGAGCAGCGGGCGAGAATGTTTAGGGCGACGCGCTCGCCGAGGAGGATTTTGCGGATGGGACCGCGGACGGTGGCGCAGTGGGTCTTGATAGGGTCGGTGGTGGATGCTGATGAGGTGGTGGTGAGGGAGCCTTCGGGAAGATGCCACTCTACTCTGTTGCATTTGGTTCAATTTTTGGGGTGATCATTAGTGGGGTCTTGCCGATTATGGTTGTGTCTTGTGGGGTTGGGTGAAATGGGGGCTTCGTCGGTTGGGGGGGAGGAGATAGAGGAGGAGGAGGTATAGGGTTTGACGTACGTGCATCCAAGTTGCGCAAAGACTTCATTGAAGAACGGAACACCTGCAATGATACCCTAGACCAGGAGCGTAAGTCAATTGACAAGAAACAGGAAGGGGAAGGAGGAGGGGGAGTTGACAACATACTTTGCTCTTGCCTAGTAGACGGGCCTCGCCCTCGGATTCCCCGACGACGAAGCCGCCATAGTCGAAGCTGGGACAGTCCTCTTCCAACCAAGCGCTGATGAGGCGTTTGTAGTTCCCGGGAAGGAGATGACTGAGATCACCGTATTTGGCAGCCATTGGTGTCTTGGTTCAGTCTGGTGTCTAAGTGAGTTGAGTATGTAGGGGATGGTATTGTCGATGAGGGAAAGGTGGAAGAAGCAGAAGACGCAGGAGGAAGGAAGTTGTCGTTGTCAACGAACCCCCCACGCGGGGCAAGCAATTTCCTCGGGTGCTTCCGGGGAGGGGTAGGAGGATGAGTCAGGACTTATATAATCAGTCTGATGCTCAACTAGTGAGTTAGTTAATGTACTCCATACTCATGCTCATGTACGAATACAATACTCCGTTCTTGGAGATCAATATTCCCAAAACGTGTAAGGGGATGACAGTATACAAACCAAGTTCACAGTTAGTACTATCTCAAGATGTTCTACCTCTACTCTCGTACGCGTGTCTAACTTCGAATACGAACACGAGGTTGCTACGTCGACCCGTGGATCCTTCCTTGCACCGAGCTCCCAGCGCGAGATATGATGACATCTGTCAACACAAGACGAACCAAAGAAATGGAAAAGAAGGGGCTTTGACGCCCATCGGATTAGTGATACAAGAGCTCAATGCTCTGCCAACTCATGAGTGAGTTGACAAGTGTCAATTCTCACTTGTCTACGCTGCATAGGAGCTGTGAACAGTTGCTGACGTCGAGAGCCACTCGTTAACGTAGTTAAACTCGACTTCCCATTGCTATTTCTTAGGCAGCAAGATTGTCTTGAAAAAAAGAAGAGAAAAATGACAGTGAATAAGAAAAGCACGGATCGATGGGCTGTCTTGTCCTCAAGGAGATCTTACCCGCAATCGTAATCAGATATAAAATAATCATTTTCTTACACCAACTTAGCTTGTTGCAAGTAGCCTAGTACTGTACGTACATCACGATATATCGAGAGGATAAGCTCACACTTGAGACCACATAAAATCAATCATGCTGCTCGCTTGTTGTACAGTGCAAAACTTTTGGCTAGAGTTAGGGATCAGCACCACGCTTATGTGGAGTAAACTAGGTTCAATTTGTTGTCAATAAATGCCAGATTCCTCAGGTCGCGGGCGGATGAAGCTGTGGGTTGTGCAAGTGCATACTATGGGGTTATGTATGGTGGTCAGGCCGTGAAGACTTGGTCAGTTGTGTGAAGTTAGAGCAGCGAAGTTTGCTTTGTACAGTACATAACTGGTATAACAGGGGAAATGCGCAGTTCAGCTTAAGTAAGGCTGATCCACACGCCAAGCTTTTGCCCGGGACTGGATTGTTTCCGTCTCCCGCTCTCTCGGCCTCCGAAGAAAAGTTACTGCACTGTCCGTACAGTACAGACAGTACAGTCCCCTCGATCATCCGTATTTCCGGAAGCACTTGCAGTTTTTTTGCATTCGAGTTGCGATTACAAATACCATTATTCTTACCACAGTGACAGGTCTCTTCACATATTTGTACAGTATCGTATTGTAATGTAATAGATGATTTCTTTGCTGCGACGAGCCTGTACATACTTGTATCAAAATCGCTATGAACATGAGAATAGAATAATCTCAAGTCACTCTACCTAGTATTCACTGAGTGTATACATGATGCTCGACCCAGCACCATGGCATGGCGCATGCAAGAAAAAGTCGAAGAAGCAGACCTCTCTGCCATCAACCGTCAAACATCCTCTCACCTCCCGGCTAGCTAATCATTGCTTCTAGCGAGATTCCAGAATATCTTGGCGCCTCGATTGAGCGATTTTTTCTCCCTGTCCCATGATCCATCCCATCCTATCGACAAATGTGCACCCCCCACTGGAAAAGAAAGAGCGAGACTGCGAGAGCTCCGAGGAGCCGAGAGAACCTCTCAGGGTTTCAGAAATGTCAAACAAACTTTTTCTCCCACGACTTTCTTCCCGTGTTGAGTATTATTTGACGGGAGTAGGCTAACTCACAATGGTACGACTGTAGATCATGTAGGCGTGCCATTGAAGCTAGTAATGTTCTTCATCCAAATGACGGAAGGTGGAAACTAGGGCCTCTCTTGAGGCTTTTTCGCCTGGTCTTTCCTTCTTCCATTGTTGCTCAGGTCTGGTGGAGTCGGGTTCCCACTACAGAGATCCATTTTTCTAGACCCACGCTGCTTCGGATACATATCACGGTGATAAAGGGTAAATCGGCACACACAAGCACCAAAAGCCAGGGATGTCGGCCAACGCAGCTTGGACAAGAAATTTTTTCTTATTTCCATGGTAAGAAAGTGAGCGGAAACTGTTCCGCACTTGAGGACAAATTACTCGTTACGTGTACAGACAGGCACTGATCGGAGTGTAAGATGCCGAGATCCAAGGCCCAAGTTCAAATCTAACCCCCAGTCAGAGGTCAATAGCGACAATCAATCAACCGATCAGTGGTCTGGCTGACCATCGAACCTAAACCCCATTCGTTCAATCGCCATTGCCGCGGCAGTTCAGCGCGGGTCTCTCCATGCCTTATAGGTGATCTTGCTGCCGTACTGAGCTCCCTTCTTCAGGACCACTGTGTGCCGCCAGGCTGGTTCGTTGATCGCGTTGACAAAGCGACTAGGCTCGATGCAAAACCCGGCAAATGGCCCGCGGCTCGGGTTCCCTTCCGTGGCCGGCACGTCGATGCCTTGTCCCGTGTAGAATTGGAAGGCAGGCTCCGTGCTATACACCTGCAGGTTAAGACGCGAGTCCGGGTGGCGGAATTCGGCCTGCAGCTGGAGGGGCTGTCCGCGTGTATCGAGTGGCACCCGGGCGATCTCGCGCTCCATAACGAAGATATCGTCAAATTGGTTCTCAGGCCCGAAGGTGAACTCTTTCGTCACTTGGCTGGGATACGGTTCGATCGGGCCGCGAGGGATCCCACCCTCAAGAGGCAGGTAATCTTGTGTAGACAGTCTGGCGACAGTCCCTTCGGTGGTTGCGCCGCTCCCTAGGTTAAAATAGCTATGCTCCCGCACAAGTTGGTCAGATCAAGTGGACTCAATGGACAGCACATTGTGCCTGCATACCTGTGGTTTGTCAGGTTGATGACGGTCTCCTCGCACTCATCGCCCACCAACTCGGCCTCATATTCGATATCCAGCACGGATCGGGTGATATTACCCTCCTTCTCCTCGCTGACCGTGTAGAAGACCTTCAGGTCCACCGTACCCGGGTACCCCGCCTCGTTGTGAAGACTCCGATAGGTATAAAGCAGGGTTTCCTTGCCATGCCGCTGCAGAACGGTTGGGCCCTCGAAGTTGCGTCGGCCCCAGCCTTGACTACCGCCATGCAGGGCATTGGGGGCATCGTTCTGCTCCAGCTGATATTCACGACCATTGAGATTGCGGATGATTCCGTCCTTGATCCGATTGGCCACCCGGCCAATGTTGGCACCGAACCAGGGACTGTTGTGTTCCTCGTATAGCTTCTGGGCTGTGAATCCCTGGACTATGTTTTGACCGCCCACGTTGAATTCCTGGATGATGGCGCCCAGAGAGGTGAACTTGACGGAGGTATTGTCACCCATTTTGTTATTATTCTCCGGTGATCAGGTAGACTTTCGGAAGTAATTGTTGCTAGTCAGGGCGAAGGTCAACTTGATAGAAAAAAAGATTGGGACACGTATAAGCTTATCAGGGTCCACGAGATGGAAGCAAGTCAGTTGAAAGGGGGGTTTCGGAAATTCACCCACAATTGTTTACCCCGCAATTGCCTGTTTTCCCCGACGCTCGACTTGGCGGGTACGTAGTACGTAGTAAGTACTCCGTACGGCGAGTGAGACCCTGTGGCTCAAAATTGCTCAATGGAGAGTGAGGGCTCGCTGGGCCTGAGAGAACATTAGCCCCTCCTTATAATCATCCCAGATCGGATAAATAGCTCCACGAATGACGAAAGTCATTTTGCAGAGAGCTAGTATTCGATAAGTGAGAAGACTTAAGAGAGCGTAAGAGAGGGGAAATGGACAGACACTGAGCCCAGACATTTAGGCTAAACCACCTTGATTGGGTAATCTTCCGGGGAAATGAGTGCCCCAGGCAGAAACATCAACAAACGAGTCAACAAACCAACAAACCGACCAGCAAACAAATAACCAACTATGAGTAAGTGACGAGCAGCTATGGAGCTTGACGAGAGCCCTTGCGGCAGTATTCATGCGGTACGGCATCAAACAAGTATATCAACCCATCCACCCATCAATCTTCTCGCTACGTACTGTACTGTACTGTACTGTATCTACTGTATGCAGTATGCACATATGAAGGAGCTCAGCACGGAGAGCGGCCAAACGCCAGCCTCGGGTCGGTCATGACGGAGTGCGTGGAATTCCGTGCCGAGATCACATCCGCTGAGTCACTATGAGAGAGATGCATGCACAACTACCAAAAGTAAGTTAACCGAATGGTTACTGGTTACTACGCGTAGGCAGTAGCCAACTTGACTTTCCTTTGGAGGACTCAAGCAGATAAGCTATGCGACGCTTATTTAAGTCATAGAAATCTCACTGCATACGCTACTTTCGAAATTAAGAGGGGCTCATTACCCTCTTCTTCCTACCTACAGTACGTACTATGTGCATTTGCGGATTGCCGACTCGACATACGGTTGGCCCGTGCGGCAGCAAATATTAATCGCTCAGCCCACCTCATTCGGTCAAATGGCCTGCAAGAAGGACTGTGAGACTGGCACCTTACTCGTTGACTAAGTTACGTGTTACACACATGTCCAGGCGGTTCATCGCGAATCCACTTATCCTAAAGCCCCGTCTTCACCCCGAAAGTTTGGGTTGTCTTGTGTTCTAGGTCGAGTCCTCCGGTTTCTTCTACTCCAGCCAGGCTGATTAATGATTCTCGGAAGCTTCCAGCGGTTCGGGGACTGGATTAGTCAGGAAAGTGGGAGTTTTTGGACACGATCCAAAGCGGTAAACTCCGACCCCATCGCGGAATCGGTGCACCACTGCCCTGCACTCGGGATGGAGCCCCTGTCGGACATATCATCGGACCTTTCTTTGCCTTTCTGACCTTTTTTTGTGTGGGCAGTTTCCACAACTCCATTAATTATCTCACGGAATTCATTTTCAGTCCTGAAACTAGAGATCAGGAGTAGCCTGGGCCTGATTATGGTACCCGAGTGGCTCAGGGGC